AACCAGGGACCAGTCAGCATGTGACAAACTTCCTTCTTGGATTCAGGACACTCATTCTCGAGTGGTGATTAACATGCCAGATGCACACTGACTTTATTCTCTCTCTCTCTCTCTCTCTCTCTCTCTCTCTCTCTCTCTCTCTCTTTTGTACTGTCTTTAATGTTAGCGATCCTGATGAGGTGTAGGACTATCTTGCAATCTTTCTTATCTGCGTTTGACTGATAACAATGGTCATTTTTCCTTGGCTACCCGTTTCTTTGTGAAATGCCTTTTCAAGTCCTTTGCTAAGTTTTCCACTACATTGAATTTTTCTTCTGATTTACTGCAATTCTGAATACATCCAGGCAGCATGCTTGCTTTTGCATTGCAGGCATTTTCTATTGCATATCTTGTTAACTTCCTCCTTTCCATCCTGCCTACCTTCCTCTCCCAAACTTCTCGTGAGAAAATGTCAGAGTACCTGGAGCCTTGTCATCGTCATTGGCTGTAATGGCGTCAGATAGGACTCACAGTTTCATTTCTTTCTGCTCTCCTCTCCCTCATAGATTATTTTGAAGTAAATCTTGAACACAGCAATTGATCCATAAAGATCTTGTCATACACCACTGATTTAAAAGGTTTCTACTTTATATAGTCACAATTTCATCATCACATACTAAAAAAAAAAAAAAAAAACAAATCAAACCAATGAATCAGGTTCTTTACTGCACACAACATCCAGGTATGTAAAGTCATCTTCAGTCTCGCATTTTAGTTTTACAGGTTTGGAACTGAAAGCAGGATTCCACTAAGCCGCACGCGCTGCAGCTCTGATAGAACTCTTTAGACCTTTAATGTGTGCTGCTCCATTGCCTTTTCCCTTCTTGTCGTTTATTTGAGAATCAATTCATTTGTCAGTTGCATTTCCCAACAGTCTGTAGTTTGGCTATTTTGAACAAGTGTCATGTTCTGTTTCCTGTGCTTTTTTTTTTTTTTTTTGATTTTTCGAGACAGGGTTTTTCTGTAGCTTTGGAGCCTGTCCTGGAACTAGCTCTTGTAGTCCAGGTTAGCCTCGAACTCACAGAGATCCGCCTGCCTCTGCCTCCTGAGTGCTGGGATTAAAGGCGTGTGCCACTACCGCCCGGCTTCCTGTGCAAATTGTTAGATACAGCCAGTTGATCAGGGTTGTGCCACCTGACAAGGCTCTCTCGGTGGGCGTAAAGGACATCTAGGGTTCACTGTGTCTGCCTGCTTCCTTCCTTTGATAGTAGACACTGAGAATCACTGCCCAGGTCCCATCATCCTATAAGGGGTGAACTCCAACAAATCTGCACATTTAATTAAATCTGTTTTCATACAGTTCCTTTTGTTTGCCTAAAATTTTGAGTAATACAAGAAAGTCAATGGAAAGAGATGTTTCTATTCCTGCTCATGTTTAGGTGATTTATCCTGGATATCTAGGCTGATTGATCACATCAGACCACTATACATATACATATACATATACATATACATACATACATACATACACACAAACACATACACACATATTAAACCAAGTCGTCAGTTCCCTGCTGACGTTTGTTTTAGACATTTGCTGTGTTAGGTACACACTTGTAGCAGAAGAGACACTGCTAGTTTTATAGGCTGCTGTTTAGAAAGAAGCTAAAAGAAAACAGTCCCTACCTTCTCCCCCTTTTTGGTTTTTCAAGACAGGGTTTCTCTGTGTAGCCCTGGCTGTCCTAAAACTCAGTTTGTAGACCAAGCTGGCCTCGAACTCCCAGAGATCTTCCTGTCTTTGCCTTCCAAGTTCTGGGATAAAAGGCGTGCACCACCGTGCCTGGTAAGACACAGCCCTTTTTATATGTGAATGTGTGTATTTAAATTTCTGATTTTACTAGTGGTCTCACAAGATACCAAATGGTATTAAAAAATAATCCTACACTGGGAGGACTGAAAGTCAGAAATTAGGAACATAAACAAATATTTCAATGTCTAGACTCACTGAAATAATCCGATTTGCTCAATGTTATAGGAATTTGGATTTCACAAGGCAAAAACCAAGCCGGCTATTTACTGCTGCATTCCTGGCATCTGATGCAATGCCCGACACATAGTAGGTGTGAAGGAGTGAACAAATGCCCTAAAATTATTAATTATTAACGTCCAAAGTCCTGATCAGGAAATAAAACCCCTAAGGAGGACAGTAAGCTAAGCCCGGACAAGCTGTCATCTCAGAACTCCCATTGAAGCTGCTGCTGAGTGTTCCATGTCTGGAAAGCCGTAAAACAACTGGAGAACGACCAGAGCCAAGCTTGACTTGCTCCAGAGCGCAGAGAATGACAGCCAGACTTACTGTTTGCATTCCTGTCTCTGCCTTTTGGTGAGCAGTTTCCGTTCTGACAGAATTTCGTTTTTGAATTTCCTCAGGTATTTACATCTAATGATTTAGTACATCACACCGATCCAGCCTGTGGGGTGCCCCTGCCATGCACGTCTCAGACGGACCCTTACACACCACCCACAAACCAACCAGACACCACTCGATCCGACAGGAGCCTCGCAGGTGAGAGCTGAGGCTTCGTTTCTCACCCCAGAAACAGCGTCCTTTCCAGACTGTTTAAGACCCACTCCCCCACCCCCACGTCTTCTGTAAACTTGTCCAGACATGGGGAGCATCATTAGGCCAGGTCTCGCAGCCATTCCACTGCTTGCAAAGCAATCATTTATAGGCATTTGGTGTTTCGTCTGACATCTGTTTGATGCCGGAGCTCCAGCCTGGGTCTCAATGAATCACTTGTCAGAGGAGCTGCAGCAAGAGAAGCTGGATTTCACACCTTTGGGAAGGCTGGCTGGGATGTAAGTGATCTTAGGGTTTTCCAAACAACTCCCAGTGTCCGCGACGAAGCAAAGGAATAAGTGGGGGTTGGGGGGGGCTGAGAACCTGATGGCTATTCAAGGCTCATTTCGTTCTGTCCCTGTCCCTAGAGAGCTTTTTGCCTCTGGTGAACACATAGCCCACTTATCTCCACAGCTGAAACGCTGCTGTCCAAAGAACCTCACTGAAATATTTGTGCAAAGTATTTTGAAAGCATCAGGCAGAGTAAGAGATTTTTTGGGGAAAAAAAGGAACAGGGAAATTCCTCACATTCTTTGATAGTCTACATCAGATCCCCCCCCCCCCCAAAAGGTGCCATTCAGTGGTTACGGCCATGTTGGCCATGCTGATCTAGAACATCAGGAGATGAAAGTTAGAAGTCAGACTGGGACAGAAACCTGGCTGAGACCAACAAGGCCTAAAAGGTCTTTCTTTTTCCACAGGTACCCGTGACCTCACAAGGTATATATGTCAAGCTAATGGAGCAAGCAAATATGGCAAGCAAATTCACTTTGAACAAGGCCGACAGTAGTGTCCTGTAAAGAGATTCTTCAGAGTGGCCCATGGAAATGCCTAAGAAAGGGAAAGAGTGACATCTGAGAACACCTTAGGTGGCCTTTTGAAACTAGGGCTCCCTGAATAGATCACTACTCACGGAGCAGAGACGGGGTTCACAATGTCCTTTTAGAGGCAATGGGTTTGACAACGTGTGCGCCTGCTGTGTAGGAGAGCCTGACGCTAGACAGAGACTTCTCTGTGGCCCTGAAACGCCACCTGGGTCCCACAGTAAGTCACATTAGGAAGAGGTTGACACAAAGAACCTCTCGCGGTGGGAAGTTAGCATCTCCAGGTCGGATGAAACAGTGGGGGTTGGGGACGGAAGCTTTCCATGTAAGGTTTTTAATTCAAAGAGAAGAAGAAAGGGGAGGGGAAGTGGATCTGTGTCTGACGCTGAGTTCTGCTGGGACTCTTTGCAGACTTCTGAAACAGTGGACGGGTGTGGGGACACGAGTGCCAAGACCTGGGCTCATCTATCACTGCAGGCATCTGAGCTGGAAACATTTAGTCCAGAGATGCAAATCGTTTAATCACACTGACTCAGTGATGACCGTGCACCCTTAGGAGCCAGGAATTCCCCCACAAGATGTGGTAATCCACTTCACAGCCTGAACTTGGGATCCTCCCGGCCGAGGCTGCAGAACAAGGGAAGGCTGGGGACCAGTATTACAAACTTCGTACATATCAAAGACTGATCATCTCTTCCAGGCGCTGAAATGAGGACCCCCCCAAGAGCCTATACTCACTCCCAGCCCCACCACCCACACGTGTCTTTTCATTTTCTGTTTACTACATTAGGTGGGATTAATGAAGATGCCTCTTCTACCACTGGACCAAGCCAGCAGGAGTATGACATTTCTACTAGAGTCGGAGTCTGCAATGTGCGCAGAAGAAATCGCCCAGTTGCTTTAAAATTTTGCATTCTGCCCACACTTGCTTAGGTAGGGCTGAGAGGATGAGGCAGGTGTCAAACTCAGAAGGAAGTGATTGGAACTCTCTGGGCCTAAGTGGTCTGTGTCAGGATAATATTGTGCTTGGCAGAAACATGAGCCAGGGTTAGAGTTTCCTCTTTTACCACATACCCTCCCCCCATTTTTTCTTTCTCATCCTCTATCCGTCTGTTTTTTGAATTTTACTTTCCCATTCTCATCCTCAAGAATGGATATATAAATGTATAGCACGTCTTCCCAAATTCTTTAAGACTATCCACCAGCTCCCTGAGGGCATCAAAAACCATTGGAAGAAACAGCTCACTGCACTCAACTTGCAGCAAGTGGCCTTCAGGAGAGAAGATGAAGGACGATCCTTTGTGAAGGATGACACACCACATCTCCAACCTCTTTGCTCCCTAGGAGAATGGCTCCCAGGGAGGTACACTGGTGCTCAAGTAGAACCGACTGGAAAAGGCACTAGGCTTCTTTTTCTCTGAAGGGTCTCACAACGGCTTCAAAAGAAGCATGTACTAATAATTTGTTCTAACTCAAAAGCAGCAGAACTCATTTTGCAGTTTTAAACAAGCAACACAAAGGAAACAGAATTCTGGGGCTCTCAAATGCTGAGACAGAAAAGAGCGAGTCTGGAAACACCAGTTCTACTAAGCATTTATTTTCATTGTAAGATAGTGGAAATCATATAAATCACGGGCCAGGCAAGGTTCTCCTTGCCTAGCAAACGTCCACATGAACCGGTCAACCTTTAAGTATAGGTTATATCTCAATAGAAAGACAGGGTAATATAGCAGTTACCCAGCAACCAATACTGTAAACTACGGTAGATACAAAGTTTTATATAAATAAATTGCCAGTAGAAAAAAGGCAACTGCTTCAGCTAAGAAGGTACAAAAATGGGTCACTTCCATAAATATAACAAGATGCTAACCGAAGAAATACATAACAGACTGTTTTCCTATATAGATATTTGAATATGCAAACTAAGACACCTGTGGCACCTTACACAAAAGTAAGAACAAGACACACAGCCCCGTCCCTTCCCTCGCCCCTCCCCCACTCGGGTTTCCCAAACACGGAGAATTCTAGGGTTACAGAGACGGGATGCCAAGAGGAGCAATAAGACAGCGCGCTCCGACCCGCTAGACAAAGAAAGAGCCTTATTGACAGTTGTAAAGCATCAGGCGTCAGACAGAAACTTGTCAAAAACAGCTGTTGTTGGGTACTGATTGATAATGTTTTCATTCTGACGGCTGCGACGCTGCAGAGAAGCCCATCGCTGGCGCACATGAACACACACAGACAACGGGAAGTCATTTAACAGATGGCAAGGAGCACTCAGCCACAGTATCTTCAAAAAGACAACATTCTACATTTAATGAACTTGCAGGGAGAGAGAGCAAAGCCTGGAAGAAAAAAATCATTTATTTTCACGGAGATGAGCAAGAGAGGACAAAATAAAAAAAAAAAAGGAATTAAAGATTTGTGCTGTCCATCGACCATCCCACGGAGTGAGAATTATTCAGGGATACTTTAGACAAAATGAATCACCATGGAGCCTTCTCTGGTCTATGCCGTGTATATATTTTAAAAGGCTTAAAGAAGTGCGGGATTGTTTTAATTAAAATCCATTTACGAGATGAAATCACTTCATCTGAGCACTGTGAGGGGTTTGAAGACTGTCCTCTGGAGAGTCACAGGTTTTCTGTCACTCTGCAATAAATATGGCATTAAGTCTGTGGCATCAAGGTACAGTACTGAAAAACGAGAGACCTATATTTTTATTGCTTGGATGCAGGGAGCAGTTTTCTCTCTTTTGGCCACTTTGTATATAGTGAATAAGTGGTCAAACATTTACAAGATGTGCCAATAAATTTTTCATCCATGAGCCTCAATATTCATAAATTATTCCTGATTTAGAAAAGGTCAAAGGTGTTAAATCTTACTAAAACTGTACATTGTTCTATGCAATTTTATCATTTCAACTAAGTGGAAAAAGTTAGTTCCAAAGGCTGAGTGTAGGCCCTCTATTTATCTGCTGTAGCCCAGCATACGCTAAGGGTACAGGACACCCCTGAAAATAGAGGTTTATAATAGAAATACTGAGACCTTTACTAAATGGAGGCCTGAGCGGACTCCCCCAGTCAGCATCAGCACTGATGAATAAGTAACAGGGTGTGCCTTTGAGCTTCATCAAATCCCAACCGTGGATTAGACTTTGGCTGTTTATTACTTGAAAAGTCATCTTCTTGATTTCATTCAAACATTTCTGAGTTTATTTTTTAGAGAAAACAAATGCTTACGCTACAGCTTAGCTTTTTGCAGATTAATGACCCTATTAAATATCTGCGGACTTAATCAAATGGGACTCAGTGGTGCCTGTGCTTGCCTAAATTTGCTCCAACTCTCTCAACCAGGATGCTGTCCTCCTAAGGGAGGACACATGGCTGCAGGCAGAACCAAGTAAGTATAAGACATCCACTTTCTCGGTTCTTTAGAGCCAGTTTTGTGAAAAGATGAGCAGGCGAAGCTTTGGGTGGTCACGTTCACTCATAGCCTATAAAGTAAACACACACACACACACACACACACACACACACACACACACGAAAAACAGACAAGACAAAATAAAGTGTAAAAAACTTGAACCTCTAAAAGATCATGGAAATGGCATATACATCGTGTGGAGTCTAGTTCCAATCGTCTAAGCTCAAACCCAGGGAAGTTAGTGAAGATGTGGGAGTCTGAGTTCCTCAGAAGGGTTTCATTTCCATGAGCCGCAAGTTCCATCCACTTTAGCACAAAGCCCAGAAGAGAGTCTTAGGCCAACAGAAGGAAGAGACATGCGGTGAAGATAATTAGTGGTAAACAGAGAATCAACTCTCCCTCAGTAGTGTGTACTTGACGTTAATGCCGAGGATAATTCACCTGACTTACGGAACAGTCACTTAGCAGAGAGATGAGAGGCTGAAGGAGCGAGAGAAGAGCAGATACCGAAGCCACGACAGTCTTGACACCAACATGAAACCAGAATGGGAAGCTAACATGATGGATTCAAGGCTCTGGGGGAACTAACTCTGTGTCAGACTTCACATTCTCATGGCCTCCAGGTCCTTTTCCTCTAACAAGCTTATGAGCTGGGAGAAGCTGTCTTTCAGTGCGTCCATATCATCTAGTGAGGAGGGCTGCAGAATCCAGCGTTTGCCACGTGCAAGGGGTTCAAGTTCAAAATATTTTTTGATCTGAAGAGAGAAAAGAAGAGAGATATGTTAATAATTATATCAGGACCTTTCCCCCCCCTAAGATCCTAAAGTGATGAAGTGGGGGTATTAAGTGGCATTTATAGGAACAGTCATGTGCAGGGTTCCTAAGACTTTCTGCCCATAGCTGTTGCTTCAGCGGGATCCTATGTTGTGACGTGGGAGGGTTTCCTTTGGGCACGGGTGACCGGCTAGCGAGTCAACATTCCAACTTGGCACTCAACCGCTGGAGAGTTCTTACAAAGTCTGAGAAAGCATTATATGTACTATAGGGCAGGAAGAAACACAAAAGAACACCAAGATGATTCCGCATACTCTAGCTGTTGCTAGCCATGTAACATTGGCTGTCTTGCCCTGACACAGTATGGATCCTATCAACCACACAAGACAATCCGAAAAGAAGCCAATATCAGTGATCTCTCTAAATTTCCTTTAAATTTCCAGTGGACATTTCTGGGAGTTAGGAAAGGGTCTTCTAGAAGAAAGAATAGGAGCTAAAGGTCCCGTGCTCAAGGGTGCCCAGGAAAGTCTAGAAAAACTAGCAGATTTGCACACATGCATAGAGTCTCTTGGGTTTTCTCCCTTCTCGATCCTGAATTCTCTAGGAGGGAAAGATCAAATCCTTGACGGAATCAGTTTCACACATTAGGGCTTGCAGAAGTACTCCCAAGGAAGGGGATAAAGTAAAGAATCCTTCCGGCTCCCCACTCATTCACACACAGCAGGCCAAAGTAAAACTTGGTACTTATCACCAAGGAAGATTTTCTGAAAACCATACTCCCAATTTTCTGAAAGCCACTCCCAAATGTTCTCTTCTGCCATCACCAAGGCCAAACTGCCATCCGCAGAACCACTCTGACTAAACCGGCTCACCAGGGCAAAGGCAGATATCCAAAAACACAAAGGGCTCTGTTGTTGTTATGTAGCTTTGGTTTGTTTGTTTTTGCTTCCTGAAACAGTGTCTCACTAGTAGCCCTGACTGTTCCAGAACTCCTCAAACTTGTGGTCAATCCTCCTGCCTCTGATCCCAAGGTATTGGAATTATAGGTGGGCACCACATGTCTGACTTAGAAATACCAAATGTTGTAATAACTTAGAAATGAAAATGATATTAAAGTTTTGTAGTTCAGGAATATCTGTAAAAGTCCTCTCCTAAAGGCTCATCATGGTGTCCCAGGCCTTTAATCCCACACTTGTGGGTTGAGTTCTGGGTTAGTCGGGAGGACATAGTGAGATCCTATCTCAGCACACACACACACACACACACACACACACACACACACACACACACAGCCCTTAGACATGTTTCACACTGACAACAAATGCCCTTTTCATTCTATCAAAGAAGCTGATGAGAACTGAAGCGCCCTCTTGATTTGAATTCTGAGGAGTAATGACAATTTATTTCATCCAAAGATCAGAAAATGATGGCTCAGAAAACAGGCCAGAACAATTTGTCATCCAAATTACTACGCAAACTATATAGAGAGTATATTTGCTTATTAAGGATACAAACTTGAGGGCTGGGGAGACTGCTAAGCAGCAAAGTAGTGAGGGATGACCAGCACTCGGGTCCCCAGAACCCATGTAAATGCTGGGGGGGGGGGGTAGCCTATAATTCCAGCACACTCAGAAGGCTAACAAAGGGGACCCCTAGAGCAAGCTGGCCAGCTAGTTTAGCTGAATCTGTGAGTTCTGGGTTCAACTGCAAGATCCTACTTCAATAAATAAGTTGGAGAGTGGCTGAGGGAGATATCCAATGTCAGGCTTGGTTCCTTCACCAGTACTACACACATATGTAAACATGCATGTGCACATATATATGAAGATTAAAAAAAACAAGCAAAAAACCCAATACCCCAAATCACTTACACAAACAAGAATTTCCCGTCCCAATTCCATTCTCATGGTTGTTTTTCTTTATTGAATATTGAAAACAGTTTACCTCTCAAAGAACCCAAAGTGGTTTTGTGTAATAACCATTAAAGCCAGAGGCTAAGCCCAGTCACAGGGGGCAGAGCTGACAGGGGGAGCCCTTGGTTAGCAGGTGGGTTAGAGTTACAGAAGGGACAAGGAGGGAGTATGTTCAATGCCACAGCTAGGAGTGGGTTTCCCCAAAGGGTGTAAATCAAGACTTTTTGTCTCCTTTCTCCCAGGAATTGGGACTGCCATGCTTATAAGGCAATCAGGTATTTGGTCTAATGCTTCCTAGCAGATGATGATTGATGGGTAACAGACAAATTCTGGTCCACGAAGTAAGCTGTGTCACTGACACTTCATAACCTTCATTCAAAAGGGCAGCGTTTTGAATAATACTAACTGGAACCAGTTGGTGGTGGCGAACATCTTTAATCCCAACACTTGGGAGGCAGAGGCAGGCGGATCTCTAAATTTGAGGCCAGCCTGGTCTACAGAGTGAGTTCCAGGACAGCCAGAGATACACAGAGAAATCCTATTTCGAAAAACCTAATAATAATAATAGTAATGATAATATCAGGAAGAGCACTGATCATGAAAAAATTCAGTAATAAAAAACAACAAGTAGGCAAATGTATCTCAGCAAGATTTCTTTTTAGGAGTTCATCTACAAGTTGCACAGAGTCAAGCTGGGCGTGGTGGTACACACCTTTAATCCCAGCACTCGTAAATCTGAGGCAGCCATTTCTGAGTTAAGGCCAGACTATTCTCCACAGTGAGTTCCAGGCCATACATAGTGAGACCCTGTCTTAAAAAGGAACACAAAACCAGAAACCACACAAAATAACCCTAATGACAGAATTCCAACTAATTAAAACCAACAACATTGGGTTTAATGATCGCCAGGCAACTGGTCGTATTTTGCGTTGCTGACAGACAGAACTTCGTGAGTTGTAGGCACACTTGGAAGAGAATAAAGATGCCTAAAGGTAGGTCTCGTTGAATCCTAAACCAGGAAAGGGAAGCTGTGAGGATGGGGTCACCAGGCCGAGGAACCCGGCAGTGTTAAGCTGACAAATAGGACGGAGTAACTTGAGATTTTCAGCTCCGTAACCTAAGAGGGTACCTAACCCTGCCACAGTCACCCAGCTGGCATTCGAAGGATCCCGCACAGTTACAATGTCAGTTTTAAAACAAGATTTCAATCCCCAGACGCACCATCAGCCCCTCTGCTGCCAGAACGTAGCTTTTGAGTTATCAGGGTTTCATGTTTCTAAGCGTGACTACCGCAGGGCAGCGAGCAGGGCGGAGGCTGGCGGCGCTCATTCTAGGTGCTTTCCGAATCAATTCTTTGTTTTCTTGCACGAACCTGATGTCAGGTTTTACTTCCCCAGCGTTATTACAATAAAAATTATAGCCACATTGACTTTCTATCTGCGTGTTTTTATTCTGATGTTGATGATAATTTTAAAGAGTAGCGTTTAAATTTGACTAGATGAGTTTGAATCCATGTTTCTCTCAAAGGCGATAGAGTGCTGCTGATGTGTCTTTGTTCAAGACTGTTCCATTACAGAGAGACAAGTTCTAAATATGAGCCCAAGTCTTTTGAAAGACTTCATTGCTGCGTACATGTCACGGTTAGCTGGAAAGTGTGAGAAGATGGCATTTGGGGGAATGACATCAGAATGCAGTTGCCTGGCAACCTGTGGTCATTTAGCTATTTTCGGGATAGTCACAGAGTGGCCATTGGTCAGTAGCCATGTGTCCACCCTAGAGATAGGAAAACAAAGCCAACCGATTTTAGCTATGTCACCGGAGCCCTTCCCCCCCCCCCCCCTGCACGGTGAGTGATCTGGATGACTAACTTCCATCATTCACACGTCGTACCCATTGCACGGTCTTTTTATAAAGAAGACATGGCAGTTCTGCTGTTGCTAATGGTCGTAGCAGCTGCTAGAGCCTCGAGACGTCACAGGAATCCCTTTCCCAGGGCTGGGCATGGGAGTGACAGCCTAGGGCAGCCTTTCTCTGGCTGCAGGGTCACAGAAGCAATCGTGATGGTGTTCTCTTGGTTACTTACCCTCACTCCCCTTTAAAATAGTTTACTTTCAAATTCTGTGAGAGAATTTGTAGAAGGCAGGTAGAGTTCCTAGCTCTAATTACTGGCCTCTCGTCAACACCTGCAAACTTCCTTTTATTTACTGTGATAAACTGTCTGCTTCCTGTTTTCGCTAGGAAGCTATGTAAGCAGCGGGCTGCCCAGGGATGACCTAGTTTTCTTTTATATACGTGGGTAAGCTAAGGGTGGGATAATAGAGCAGGGTTTACTTTGTGCTTTATGTGCAGCAAATTTAGGTTCTGAGCTTGGATATTTATAAAGAGAGCTCTGGCCCACATGAATGTGTGGTAACATGAAAGACAGAGTCAGGGAGTGACAGCAAATCACGTGGGACCGTGCCTGGCATCATACTACGTCATCTCTCGTCCTACAGAATTAAATGCTACAAGGACCGGCTAGTAATTGCTAAAGCCAAAGATATTATACCCCATCTCTGGTGCCTGAAACATTACCTGGGTGGACCCGGCCTGTTGAGAACTGTCCACCTAGCCCTTGTGGTGCCTTTCCCACCCACCTGGGGCCATGGCTGGAAGCTGAGTATTGCTTCCGTGCTTCCCCCACATCAAGGAGCAGCATACACACACTTCCTTTGTGAAACCCCAGCAGACTTGGAGCTGCTCTCGCTAAGTCTGTGGATGGCTGTGACAGCACGGAGGAGTGGGGCCTGAAGCAAGCTACGGAACGTCGGCAGTTTAGATCCTCTAGGCTGCCTTGCTATAACTTCATTCCTGCACCTACCATCCCTCATGCAGGATGGCAGTGATCGTGCAAAGGCGGTGGAGGTGTGCCAGGACAAGCCACCTGGGCCAGCGTGCTATCTACAGCAACGGGGGGTGTAGAACAGAAGCTGTAAGACTGTAAGACAGAATCCCAAGCGGAAGCAGCAGCAGCCTGGATAGGGGATTGTTATGAGCACTTCTAAAATCACAGGACGGCAGGGTACTGC